TGCGTGGTGATTTCGAGTTCGAGCTGCGACATCCCTGTCAGAGGTCCACTGGAGATCCCCGATGATCCTAGGGAAGGGTTACAGGCATGTTGGCCTGGGGGGTTATGGGCGCACTCACCCGCTACACAAAAAAAGCCCTTTTATCCCAGTGGTTAGTGACTGGGATTCTGACATGGTATCAGAGCGAAGGTCTCGGGTTCGAATCCCGGTGTGTGCACCTCGGGCATCCCAGTGCGGGGGGGTGTCAGAGGTCCACTGGAGATCCCCGATGATCCTAGGGAAGGGTTACAGGCATGTTGGCCTGGGGGGTTATGGGCGCACTCACCCGCTACACAAAAAAAGCCCTTTTATCCCAGTGGTTAGTGACTGGGATTCTGACAATCCCTTCCTCGGGGGGTGCGTTGCGCTCTGCTTCCGCGATGGCGGCGAGTCCGCGGCCTGCAATCGCGCTCGTCGAGGTCGTCGGCGTGTGACAATCCCTGCAGATTCCATCTGGATCGGGGTTGTGAAGTGCCGTTTCGCGTGGGTGGGGATGATGCGGCACCCACGGCCTGCCGTCAGGGTGCTTCCAGTCCCTGCGGTGGATGTGTTCGAATCGCAGTGGCACGAGGTCAATCAGCTCGTGCGAGTCGCCGCTGCAGTCGGGAATATCGAAATCCAGGATGTACACTCCATTTTCGGAGTGTGCTCGTCCGATCTGCCTGCGGGGGAAGTTGCGCGCCTCGTAGTGTAGCAGGATGTCTCGCGTCGCGTGGTCCGTGCTGAGGTCGACGCCGCAGTCCATGAGCTGTGCGGCGGACAGGAGGTTGAAGCGCAGGTTTTGGACGATTAACACATCATTAAGAGTGATGTGCGTGCGGCTTCCGCGTGCTTTGAGCACGACGATGCCTTGCGCGCTTGCGCGCAGGCGCGTGTTGTTCGCCACAGTGACGTGAGTGACGGTAGGGGTGGGGACGGCGTTGGATATGTAACGCTCGGAGCCCACCATATGCTGGCCGCAGCAGCTGTCCAAGTACCAGGTGTTGTTGCGCTTGTTGTCGTCACGTGCGAGCAGCGCCAGTCGCGGTGTGACGATGTGCGGGGTATCGAACTTCAGAAATTGCTCGCGCGTGAGCCAATCAAGTGGCGCCACCCGCATATCAGGTACGTGCGGGGGACTTTCAAGCAGCGGGACTGGGAGGTTCCAGTCCTGGTCGTCGTCGTCGGTATAGTCGCGGCGCGGACTAAACGGATTGTTGTTAGCGAACGCACCAATGGGGTGCGGAGCTGGCTCAGGTGAGGGAGAGCGTACTCGACGACGGCGTGATTCGCCTGTCATGGCCATGTTGCTCATGACGTTGCGCACTGGTGCAGTCGATGACGGCTGCTGCTGCTGATGCTGAACTGCTGGGTTCAGGTTGCGCGTGGGAGGGGGCTGATAGCCCTGGGCTGGACGCACGTCGCCTCGTACGTCTTGTCGGCCGGACCAGTTGCTCGGATTGGTCTGGCGAGGGCGAGATCGGGATTTGCATCGATCTGCCAGATGCCCGAAGTTCCTGCAGATTTTGCAGTAAAGGCGCCTCGGCCGTCGCTCTTCGTTGTTGTCGGCGTAGAAGGCGAGCCGTTCTCTTTCTCGTCGTGGCGCTGGTCGCTGCTGGTCCATATCCCGTTGTTCGACGAGAAGGGCGGCGCAAAGGGCGGCCTCCGAGATGACCCCCTGCTGTCGGAGAAGCGCCTTGCAGGGCCGCCACTCTGGGCCGAGCCCTTGAAGTACGATGTTAACGAAGATTTCTTCAGATATCGTGCTTCCCAACTTCACGATTTGATCGCGAAGGCTCCGACAGCGGTTAAGGTAAGTGTTGACCTTCTCCCCTGAGGTCATCTTGGTTTCCAGGAGTTCCTGGAGCAGTCGGCTCGAGGAGACAGAGTCCTTGGGCTGATACACTCCTGTCAGATGTCGCCAGGCGTTGAGGGCTGGAGCAGCTGTCGTTTTGTACGAACGAATGTTGAGCTGCTCCGCCGGGGACATGTTCCGCAGGAGCACCCCGTACGCCATCAGTGATTCGTTGTAATACCTCGCCTTGGCGTCGTCGGTGTCCTCGGCAGGCTCGGCGTAGCTCCCGTCGAAGTAATGGAAGATTTGGGCGTTCTGCAGCAGGAGCTCCAATTCGAAGCTCCAGGTATAGAAGTCTTTGCCGTCAAAGCTGGAACTTGTCTTTATTTTTGATATGCTCAGAAACTTTGATTGAGCGGAGAGAATTGCTTCTTCACTGGGACGGGGAGCCTTGGGGGTTGAGCCATTTGTGTCGAGGGAGAAGGTTTGCGGGACGGTGTTCTGCCCAGTTGGGCCCGGTTGGGATGGTTGCGAGGATGTTCCCGCATCGCCGTTCCGTAATGTTTGGAGCCCTTGCTCCAGACTGGTGAGTCGCTGAAGAAGTTGTGCGAGGACTTCGGTGCCGATCGTAGTCGTTTCCTCGCTTGTCGCAGCCGGATTGGTGCGCGCTTCAGCCGTCAGATTAGTCTGACCACCAGATCCTCCGGCCATTCTCACACGCGAGCGTGTGCCGGTCGCCACTTTCCGAGTGTCGCAATTTTCGGGAGTGGTGTTGCGAAGGATTCCCGAGCCGCTCTCATACCATGCTACGATCAGAGAATGATCGCTTACCAGGATCTACTCGGGAAGGTTCGCACACAGGGAAATGTAGTTGGTGGGCCCGTGACCTCAATAGCAGAGTGAATGTAAAATGCTTGAGATGATTAAAACATGCAAATACAGCAAGTATAAATATGAGTACAGGGAAGACGAATCGATCTAGATAGCCATGTACTCTAAGGGGTACATTCCCTTATTCAAACGCATTCTCAACCGTGCGGCGCGTACAGTTTCGTAACTGTTCCCGCCAAAACCATCCTGCCTGCAGCTGTCCGATGCCGTCTGCTTCCGACGGTCCAGATGCGCCCCAACTGTCTGACACTTGAGTCAAACTCCAACCGTCTGACGGTTCGCTTTCTTGCTTCGATACTGCGTGCTTCTCTTTGCTGCGGTGAGGAGTGCTCAGTAACAATTAAATGTTACTATTCGTAACAGCCACATACTCCAAATGGTACATTGCCTTATTGCAGCGAAGTTAAAACCGTGCGGCGGGGGAACCCGTTTCAAACCTGTTCCCGCTCTTTTCATTTCAAATGCTTCTTCCCGCATCGGTCCAGATCTGATGGTTGCTGGTGTCGCTTCGGCTCTTCTGACTCCTCGACTTCACACTCGGTTGAGTTGGCTCCTGCAATGTACAGGAATGCCTTCTCATAAAATTTAATATCTCAACAATTATCAGTGTAGTTACATGCTATCCTTGTCATTCCTTGAAATTGCTGAGGTGCTATCTCTGTGACGCGATGATTGCGTAATGCTGACGTCGACCAGGCTTTATTTGATTGTTGACAATGCCAGTCTGCTAGTTTAGTTGCGAGTATTCGTTGCCCTAGACTAGACTAGAGTTCCTTCTCTCTTGCGTGGAAGGTCTCCGTTCCGTTACAGTATCTACTTCGGCTCGTAGCACCGTAAATTCTCATGGTAACCAACGCGAACGCACCGCGCTTTTGCACAATGCTGCCGCACAATTGGAATTCGAATAGCTCAAATAGGCAGATCATTCCACAGCAGTTCCATCATCTGCCTTCTGCATATTCTTCCTTTCTTAGGATCTTCCACTCGACAATCCACTTCGAAACGTATTTTCGAGCGCTGCGCTATTTCTACCTCAATCCGCTGCCAGTCCGCTGCCGCCAACATCTACACGCGAATTCTTTTGAGTCGGCTCAAACGCTGCGCTACTTCCACCTCAATCCGCTGCCGGTCCACCGCAGCCAACATTTACGTGCGACTTCTGCCAGCGACGCGGCTGTTTCAACGGCAACATCAAACGGATGCAGGCATTTTGCCTCTCTAAGACGCGATCTAGTAGTACTACTGCCCGTTCCGGTGAACGCTCGTTGCTGTCTGACGCGCAATGGCGACTGCAGGAATCAGCTCCGTTCGAGTCGGCGATTCGCACGTGCCGCTCGTACCGGAAACGATGTGCGCGTGGCAGTACTTGAAGCACGGCGGCGGGGCTGATGCTCTCTCGGTGCGTTTCACCCCCGCTCATGCCCGAATCATCCGAGGCTCTTTTGTTTCTAGTAGCAGTAGCTTTTCTTCATTGACTCGGAGTCCTGAGATTCCCTTGGCTTACGCCATACATCCTTCGTGAGCCCACGGGCATTCCAACTTGCAAAACGCGCCGCGACGGAATTACGGTCGACGTACCCACGTGCTGGTAGAAGTTGGCTTTTGAGGCGTCTCGAATTCCAACCTTTATCACGTCGAATTGCGGTCGACGTACCCGCATCATGACATGAAGCATGATCATGATAAGTCACGATCTGAATCATGATCATGATAAGTCATAATCTGAATCATGATCATGACAAGTCATGAACTGAAGCGTGACGCTCCTTCACTTGAATGACTTACATAGGCTTCCAGATCTATCATCATCTGCTTGCTGTGCCGTGTCCTCCATGATCCTGCATGCCCCGCATTTCACCACTTGAGCAACATGAACATCCCCGTGCCCATGCCGTGTAAGGGCGGGGTGCTGGTTCGCGTGCGCAAGGGCGACTGATACTTCAAGATCTGAATGGTTTTTTCCATCCCCATCTCCCTCGCTTCACCAGTTAAATGACAGCATCCCCGTGCCCAGGCCGAGCAAGGGCTGGGAGCTTGTGAGAGAGCAAGTGATACGCGTAAATTCACCCTCTTCACCAGTTAAATGCTGTCATTTAACTGGTGAAGCGGGTGCTCCCTTTCATCTGCTTGCTGTTGCATTTCTCCCATCCCGCACCTCCTTCACTTGACCAGTTCAACGACACCATCCCCGTGCCCAAGCCATGTAAGGGCGAGGTGCTGGTTCGCGTGCGCGCAGCAAGTAACTTCAACCTCAATGTTTTCTTTCCATCCCTCACCTCCTCTCACCTCACGGCAGTTGAACGACAATGTCCCCGTGCCTGTGCCGGGCAAGGGCGAGGTGCTGGTTCGCGTGCGCGCGGCGAGCATCAATCCGGGCGACTGGAAGGTGCAGTCGGGACTCATCCCCTTCCTGCCGCGCCACTTCCCCGCCACCGCTGGTGAGAGCCGCAGCAGCTTGGGTGTTCAGATGTGTGTGCTGGTAAGTTGGGCGACTGGAAGGTGCAGTCGGTCGGGTCTCATCCCCACGCCGCTTCCCCGCCACCGCTGGTGAGAAAGCGTGCAAGCAGCTGCAGAAGACGAGAGACTTTCAGAAGCGCCCGATTGATTGAAAGGTGCAATTTAGTCGCATCCCTTTCCTGCCACGGCAACTCCCTGCCACCGTTGGTGAGAGCTGTGCATGCACTGACTTGTGTCCTCACTGCCTTGTGTCCGCACTGCCTTGTGTCATCACTGCCTTGTGTCCGCACTGCCTTGTGTCATCACTGCCTTGTGTCCGCACTGCCTTGTGTCATCACTGCCTTGTGTCATCACTGCCTTGTGTCCTCACTGCCTTGTGTCCTCACTGCCTTGTGTCCTCACTGCCTTGTGTCCCCTTACCTGCTCTGCGGTTCCCCCTCTGCTGGTGATGACCGGCATGAATTTCTTTTCCCATCGCCTTGTCATTCACCCTTCTCACCGCACACTCGAACCAGGATTCATTTTTTAATTTTCCTAATTGCTTTTGTTCATGCAGGGTACGACCTGGCAGGCAACGTGGTGGCAGTGGGGTCTGGCGTTACCAAGTACTCTGTGGGAGATGCCGTTTTTGGAAGGGCACCGTTCTTCGTACGTTCCGTAATCACAATTTCTCTGGTTATTCTTTGTTCTTCCGATCTCATCCACTGCACTGCACCTCTCTCCACCGCTCTGGATCGCATCCCTCTCTTATTCCATGCAACCACTTGCCTTTCGACTGCAGAAAATGTGTGAACCACAAAGCTCAACCACTCTCTCGTTCAAAGTCTGGTGTTTGGTGTTTTCACCACCACACCTGGCTGCTTCTGTCCCATACACCCTCCATGCATGATCCATTCTCTCTGGCCCCACTCTCGTTCTCTCTCTCAGAAATGGGCGCTCTGGCACACTATGCAGTCCTCAACCACCTCAACCACTTTGGCGCACACGCCTCAACCAGCATGCCCAGCCCAGCACACCTCTAACTTGCTTTCCCTTCTCATTTGCTTTCCCCGTACCTCTTGTGTATTCTCGTTGCGCTTCTCTTAGAAAATGGGCGCCCTGGCACAATACGCCATAGTGGAAACTGCCTTCAGCGCACACAAGCCCTCCTCCCTCACCTTCGAAACTGCTGCTGCGCTTCCCGTCGTCGGTCTCACCGCCCTGCAAGCTGTGAGGGACTGCGCTGGCCTGCCCCTCCCTGCAAGCCGTGAAGAACCCAAACCGGGTTTTGAGTTGCCTCAAGAACTGAGTGCAGAGCACAGCACTGGTAGCAGTGGTAAGGCCGAGAGCAACAGCACTATCTCCGGTACCAGCACAAGCAGGAACGATGGCAGCGGGAAGAGGGCACGGGTGTTGGTGGCGAATGCATCAGGGGGAGTGGGGCATATGGCAGTGCAGCTGGCTAAGGCAGCAGGGGCACACGTGACTGCCACTGTAGGCGCTCGCAACCTCGCCTTCGCACGGAACATGCTTGGAGCAGACGAGGTCTTTGACTACAACTCAGCTGCAGGGAAGCAGCTCTTCTCTTCTGCATCCTCTTCCCCTTCGCCTGTTACCAGCCTTTCTGCTCCTGCTGCTGCACAGGTTGCTTCATCTGCTGATCCGCCTATCACTGGGCTGTATGATGCGGTGGTTGATTTCTCTCCCAGCAGTCTGGCTGTTTCCGCTGTGGACAGGGTTCTCCGTCCCCAAGGGAGGTGGGTGCATGTGGAGCTTCCGCTCTCTCTGCTCGCTCTGGGACTGTGGCGCCGCCTTGCGCGACGCCCCAGGAGATTGTGGCCTGTGATGATGGAAATGATGGAGAGCAAGGGGGCTGATCTGGAGGTGCTTGGGAGGATGGCGGAGGAGGGCAAGGTGAGGGTGGTGGTGGAGAGTAGTGTGGCGTTTGAAGAGGCGAGAGAGGCGTGGCGGAGGAGCATGGGAGGGCATGTGACAGGCAAGGTGGTGGTCAGGATGGAGTGAAGGGCCTCCTGTATGGTAGAGAATTCTGTTGCATGAATGTGATGCACTGGGTATAATGTAATGCACTGGGTATACCTACCTAACGTATCTTGATCCCCAAAAGTCATGCCAGATGTATTGGTAGCACGTCATGCTCTGTATGGTTGAAGTACCGTAGATCGAACTCAGGCCAACATACTGACAGCAGGAGCTTCTTTTACACCGTGAAATCAATTGACTTCCAGAGAGCAATCCTACTTTCCATCTAGAGCACTACACTTGAACTACCTAGTTGGAAAGCTTAGACTCTGCTCAGGCTTGAACGAGCTCCTATTGTAGTTCCTGAAATCCTGAGACTAGCCTCCCTCCAGAGACTAGCCTCCTTGCATAAGCGTACATTGGTTGGAAGAATTCCAACTAGGGTACGTATCCGGATGAAGTCAGACAAGTTTATTCTCAACCATCGCATACAGGAGCATTCAAGTATTTCTGCACCCCCCTTTCACAAACCCACTCCCCCCCTAACCCATTCCCTTTCAACTAACCCACCCCACTCCCAATCCATTCCCCTCCCACCCACTACCGCCAACCGTTCCGCCTGTCTTACTCAAACACACCTACCCGCCAGAAATCACCTCACTTTCCTTCACCCTCGTATCACCAGTGCCAGCACCAACTTGCCTTCGAAAAACCCTCTGAATGTCGGTCTTCCACGTGTAGTACTAGAGCAGCTTTTGGGGTGCAGCTTTACTTGCTTTCCGGCAGGAGCTTCTTGAAGTTGGTTTTGAACGAGTAGAGCGTCTGGGCCTTCCAGGCGGCGGGAATGACATTCTCGAGGGTGATCTTCTCGTGGGTGTGTCCCGCAGTGAGGCGAACGCTCATCGCCTTCTTCGCGCCCACAACCTCCTTCGCCTCCGCGCCCTTGATCCCCCAGATCGCCCTGTTCTCGTCGCGGGTCAGCTTCACCCACTTCTTGCCGTCCGCGCTAAGCTCGACCTCGATAAGCGTACCGGGGCCGGCAAGGCCGACCATCTGAATGTTGAAGTGTTCCGCGGTAGAGTTGCTGCGCACGCGCACCGCGGATCCGGCGGTCGACTGGCAGTTGGTGCGCTTGTACGTGATGTTAACAGGGGCGGCTTCCGAACCCTGCACGATTTTTGCCCATGAGGCGGCGGAGAGCGAAATCTGCTTCTCCGTCGCCGCCGTCGCGCCGATGACGCGGACGGTGACGGTGGCCTTGCCGCTGCGGCAGCGCTTCGTGTCGTTGGTGCAAATTACCTTGAAGCACGCGCCGCAGCGCTTGCCGAAGAGCGCGTCAGGAAGTGCAGCAGTAAGCCCTTTGCCGAAGTAAGGGTTGGCGTTGAAATTTCCGTAGTAGGAGCATGTGGAGTTCTTTCCGTCGCCCGCGCTCTTGCTCAGCTTCGCCGTCGCCACTCCCACCGCGCTGTTAGCGACTTTACATCCCAAAATTGTAAAAGTTGGGGTTGGGGTAGCGGGCAAGGAAGTGGGTACTTCGGAGCTTGGTTCGGGGTATTTCCAGAGTCGACGCAAACTAACTACAAACAATTTCACCCACTCTGAACGAACCTCGCATGCCGAGCCTAGCACCCAACAAACAATTTCACCCACTCTGAACGAACCTCGCATGCCGAGCCTAGCACCCAACAAACTGAACACAATGTTGCTGAACACAATGTTGCTGGCAACAAACAGTTACATACCAGACACTTCGGCCAATGAATGCATCCTGTACCTCCCGCGCAACAAAGTTTGCGAACCCACCTACGTACACTGTAGTCACGACGACTATACCTTGCCTGAATAACGCACTGTTCATAAGTACAGTAAATTCTTCCTGACCGCTTTTCTCGACATTGGCCGTCGAATACATTTCTCCTGTGTTATAGAAGCCCGTTTGCGTCACTGGTTTTAGAGACACAATTGGTAACGTTTAGTGAGAACGACAGGCCACAAAAAACCGGAGCCAATCAAAATAACGCACGCCGTCCCGTTTGCGCAACATTTGCCATGGAAAATTACAAACCGTCGATTTTGACAATGGACGGTTTGGATCGTGTCGAAGCTCACTGTTGAGCGCTGTAGAGTTTTTTGCAGGTTGGAATGTTACTCGTAGATCAGGGACGCCCTGAACGGTTAGGATAGGTTGTGTTTCTGGTAGAAAGTGGATCGAAACCGTCGATTCCTTCCAGCTGTGGTGCTCATTTTTGTGGCTTGCAGAAACATTTCAACCGTTGATTGAGCTGTCATTCAAAGGTCACGATCGAGGGATGAAGAAAAAGATAATGCTACGTAGTTTCCGATTGGTACAAGCCCAGATTTCCTCGCAAGCCCAGACACAACTGAGTACATCCAACCCCCCTCGTTCAGTTCCTCCTCTCATTTCTTATCTTCCAGACAGCTCTCTTGCTTAGAGTAGAACCCTCCCAGCTGCAACCCTCCTACCGCCAACCTAAACCTTCCTTTCCAACTCCCCTCTTCCTACCCTACTCGCCTCCGTTCCCCACTCCAGCACCTTATTCTCACACCCCCCCGCTACCGTCACACTCGTTTCAACCGGAATCGGGGTCCGGAACATGCTCGCCCGGTGTGGGCGCGTTTTGGGATTGCAAGAACTACCCCGTGCCCGTCGGCGCCGACTGCGCTGCGATCGTGCGTCGGTTGCGCGACGTGTCGCGCACATTTGGCGCGGTGCGGAGCGTGTGGGCGTACGGGAAGCTGGGCAGGGAGATGGCGGACAAGGCCATCATCGCGGACGCGCTGGTCTTTGCCTTCGGTATCACCGTTGTTACTACATTAAGCATTGTATTTGTTACTTGTTTCCCTAAGACTAACGAGTATTATATGTGTTGGTGGCGCCTGTCTGTCTTATGTGCGATTTTGCAGGCTAAAGCTTGAACCTTGCTCAGTCTTTTGTCCTAACACTAACGGTTCATCCATTTTGTGCGATTTTGCAGGTTCTGTGTTGGACCTTACAGAATGTGCTGTTATTATAATCGGATATCGGTTGCTGAAGTTCGACCGTGATATTTTCGGGGAAGCTGTTGCTGAACACGGGTAAGTACTTGGCGCTATGTGAAATAATGATTTTTGACTTCTTTTTTGCAGGGATATATGTATCGTTTGTTGCTTACAGATTTGGTCACTTAGTAGGACCACTCTACGTGAAGATTATTCATCCGTAGTGCTTACTAAGTACTATTAGTGGATTCTGAGTGAATCTATTTGTAACGTCCTATACAATTATTGGATTTCATTTACTTCCAACAGAAACATTTCGTAAGCAGGAATCGGTAATCGAATGCTAGGAATACGGTACCTGAATTTGCAGTGAATGCACGTTGCAATTACTATGTACTTATTTCATGCTAGGGATTGGCTTCGAAGTAAATATAGATTGGCTACAAAATGGTTACTATAATTGTAATGGGTGTAGGTACTATGTGGTTACCCTATTGCCACCCCCTATCAGTTTCGAAGTAAATTGTTTGCAGCAGAACCTATAAGTACAGTGTAGTCGGAGGCATTGTGGGTGCATCGCATCTCCCATGCAGCTACGGAGTGACTACAATGTAGCTGTGGCGGAATTTTTTGGGATGTAGTAGCATTTCCAGACTTCGTCGCGTTAGCAGGCGCACTTACCTTAGCAGTCGCGTTCGCCGTGGCAGTCGCGTTGGCAGGCGCAGTGGCGTTTGCGGGACCCGCAGCAGAGACGCGCTCAGGGGTGGAAAGGAGCATCGCGGAGGCTACGATGACGACGAGGAAAGTTGCCTTCGCGGGTGTCTGGCCGAAGAACGCCATGTTTGCCTGTGTGTAAGTCGATGCTGAGACGTTTGAGCTAGTGCTGTTAAACACCTTCTAGAGTAAGACGCTGAAGATGTTTGGAACTGGTGATGAGATGAGAGGGAGTGGTAGCTCCTTATAAACGTCACTTATGCTGCTTTCAAGAATGGCACCGTGAATCACGCGTACGACTTGGCTGTAGATTGGTCTTCGACATTTTGCAGTCCCATGTTTGCAAGAGTTTTGCAACGCTGGGAAGGTGCTGTGTGAGATCAACATTATCACACATAATTGCGGTTTGGGTGGGCGAGCTGGCGAGTTCGCGACGACCAGTTCCAGTCGCAAGCAACTTCAGACCCGCTTCGCGAGGAAGCGAAAACATGATGCGGACTCGTTTGATGGATCGCAAAGTATAATCACGACGCGAAATTTCCGCTCACTGGAATCCTGGGGACCTTTTTCACGTTCTCACGCATGAGACGGCGCGATAGGCGCATGCACCTCCTTTATAACGAGACCCCGGGTACTGTAATAGCTCTGGGGTATGAGAGTACATCCACTGGAAAGGCTGAAAGAATAAACAATGTACGAACAGGAGGCTGAAAAATCAGCCATGTGTGTTTTTTATAGGCTGATTTGACATGTTATGTTTTGGGGGGAGGGGGATGCCAGATACACTACAAAAGTTCATGCAAGCATTAACAGTCACTACTGTGGCTAATGGCCCTAGACAACGCTGTGCTGTCGTACCTATGCATTTTGGCTAGGGCTGACGTTTCGTATTATGCCCCCCTGATTCTGGGGAAAAAAATTCCCTCGATTATGAGTGCACATTTTTCAGAATGATGCTACCCTGATCGCTCAGGGTTGAAAAGTATATAAATCTGATTGTTCAGGGTCGAAAATCGAAGTTCTGAGTAGTAACTTGCTCTTTATTACAGGGGAAAAAACATTGCTCTGCGTAAAGTGCGCTCTGTGTTTCGCACACACATTGAGCGCGCTAATTTCCAGCCGTTTAGTTTTACAAAATAGTATTTATCCATACGTTTATGTGCGGGGAAGGGATGAGCGATTTTGGTCAACAAAACATTTCGATTCGATACCACAGATGTGCCAAATTTTTAATTCGCCGAGTACCTAAATGTCGTCAACATCGCTGTACGAAACGCAAAAAAGTGCTGTTAACTTCACGCTCTCGCAATTACGACAGAACTTATTCGCACTTTGTGAAAGTAACAAATATCGAGTGTATTTGCCTGTCAGACATGCTGCTGTCCGTCGCTCACGCGCTGGCTGTACTGCGATCAATTCGAAGGGGGATAATCGGAACGAAAGTTCCGAGAAACTTCCTACCGATATGGTCAGATTCAGAGTCCACAGAACGCGTACTCTACATTGACAGAGTCAGTAAGAACACTACTCTGAGCCTAGATACAATATTTCAGGGTTCGCTAAAGCACTATTCTGAATGGATCAGTGTTCACAAGTCAGAAATTCTGAAATTGTAGGTACCACCAAGAGAGAAGCCTGTAATCACCCTGAAATCAGGGTAATTACCCTGATAAAATCAGCCCTGAATTTGGCCCAACGTCTTTAAAGCCAGGATCTCAAGTAAGAGAATTCGGCATCAACCAGGGCTGACGTTTCAAATTTGAGGCTCCCTGACATGGGAAAAAAAAAATCGTTTTAGTCTGAAGGCAGTTCGGCAAAAAAATTGGCAATCTGATTGCTCAGTCACCAGATTTCGCGTTGCCTGATCGTTCAGGGTCGGCAGATCTGCATCAGACAACGGCCCCACCACACGTTATCGCTGCCCACCTACGTGTTGATGTGACTCAGCGAATTGTGTGCAAGTGCCTTGTCAGATTCTGTTTCGGAGGAGTTTTTCGGCATCAGCCAACGGTCGCGAGAGTAGGCGGAATTTTGCAGGTTGGGTTTGGTGGGCTGACAGGGAGCTGAGCTGGCAGCAGGCAGGATGTGTTACGAGCGAGATTCTGGCAGCAGAAGTTTGTACTCTTTATGTGCAACAATCTAATCTTCTTTCTTTTTGTTGGAATTAGATGTTATATTTCACCCGTTTTGGCGCGGGGAAGAGACTCGCAACTCTGAGAAACATGAACTTCGATACGAAACATGTGGTGATCTTTGTTTTTTTTTTTTTTTTGCACCGACTCGCTGTGCGATTCGAAGACAAAATGGGCGATTCGTAAAAAACGCACATTCCGACGTCGTTTCGCTCTACAGCGGACACACATTCAAAATGCAAAATTATAATGTACAGACAGTGTATTCTTGTGTCCAGACCAATGCATTGAGCTCGGCTTCTATGCTGCTGGTCTCGTGTTCCACCACTTGGGTGTATCGAAAGGAAATTTCCTGGAAGCTTCTTCTCAATACACTCGCATTCAGGGACCACAGAGTGTATACTCTGTAGAGAGACTCCAGAAACGACTAAGTCTGAGGCCTATTACACTAAATCAGGGGCCATAAAACAGATCTCTGAGGCTGACAGTGATGAAATTTTGACTACTCTGGAAGTACAGTTTCCACAAACTGGATGGCCTGATTCGTCAGACTAATCAGACTATTTAGTCTGATAGCGTCAGCCCTAGCATCAACTGCAAAACAATTGACACGCGGGTCACCCTGTTTGATTGGGCGAAGTGGAGTGACGGGTTTGGGGCTGACTGTGCGACGCATTCCCCATTTTGCCCCTGCATCAATTGCAAAACAAATTGCTGGGGACTTTTCGGGATCTGAAACATTCGCTGGTACTTTAGCTTCGGCTCCGAACCAGTTTCCGTACCTAGAAGGCTTGGAAACAACCTGCGACTTGTTTTTTCCTCGCACCCCTCGCTTCATTCCTCGTCAACTTTGATTCCTTGCCATCCAATCCCTGCCTAGCACTATTCACCAACTGCAAAACAGAAAAAGTACTTGAGATCCCGGGTATAAGGGGGATTGAAAATCGTGCGCGGGTTGGCCCAAATGGAGGTGAAGCCATAAACCCATGCAAGCGACTTAGCCGAGCTGTCACATACCCTGATCAACATTCGAAATTTGTCATGGTCCAATGGCTTCAGAATCGAGCTTTGACCAAGACGCTCCATGCGTCCTACCCGATTTTTTCCTTTTTTGGCTCTTAGGTAAACCCTTGTATGCGTGTAGAATGCCTTTGCGATTTTCTGTAAGACTCTCCTGGATCGAAACTGACCACGGTCAAATGCTGCGTCATAACAATCCACCAATAGTATGTAAAGAGTGATAGCAATGGTCGTAACCTCGCGAAAACCCGACTCTGCCCTTCCTTCTTGGAAGAGCAAGTCCCCCAGCGACTTTATCCTCCTGCCCGGGTTGAGCAGCCGAAAAGCTATCAATAGTCCCTGCACCACTGGCTGGATGCGAAGACAGCTAAACAAACACTGTTCCGCCGACTCTTCTTCGCCGAAGTGCGGACACGCCACCACGTCCAAGAAGCGGAGCCTCACCCCGACCTTGAGGTTTCAGTAGTGCAGCCGAAGCAAGACGTCACATGATCGGTTCCGGAGAACCAGCGAATCGTGGACCTTGATGACTCTGGCCTAGTCGATCCGCTTGCGGAAGCAAGACGTCACATATGCTGCCACGCCTCTCCTTGCTGCGCTCCAAAAAACTCCCGTAGTTGCCTACAAGGGGGGACCCTGTCGTCCGCGCACAGCACCGAGCTCCTCAGCCTCATCTCGGGCAGGCCAGCTACCCCAACCACTCGTCCTTCCCTAACCAACAATGGCACTTCCCTCCGCCTCTTCCTCCAGGGGTACTCCGGCGTAGTCGCAAGCTTGGAAGACAAGCCCCTCTTGCTCCGAAATGACCACTTTCCAGAAATCAATGATGCCCACGACCTTCATGTGCGCCGACTCCGCTAGTAACTCAGTTCCCGTGAGCGGTGCTAGGAGCTTTTCCTTCCATGTCTCCAAGATACAGCCGA